CTGAGCTCTATTCGTTTTTGCTTTTGTTTTTTCCTTTCCTTTCTTTCTTTCTTTTTTTTTTTTAGTTTCTTACCAACTTGTGATTTGAAGTTTTTTCTTTTCTTAATCCATTTTCCTACTGCTATTCAGACTCAGCAATTTCTTTTGTTTTATTTTACAGTTTGCTAAACTTTTCTCCATCCTTTCCATTCTATTGAACTCATTCACTGATACTTTTATTTTAGTTATTATATTTTTGAGCTCTAAAATTTCCATTTGGTTCTTCTTTATATGTCAAGGCATATGAAGTATATACTTCATTTGTCAAGGCACCCTCACCCATAGAAAATTATTAGGTAGGCACTGCTGGTTTACTCTTTGATTTCTTCTTGCCTTTGATCTTTACTTGTGATTAACCCCCTTTTCTGCATGCTTAGCAATGTCTTTAGGTAGGTTGTTATCAGGCCTTATTTTCCCAGGAGCTATTTTCTTTTCAGGGGTAGTTAATCTGGAGTGATGGACCCCCTTGCCTATGGTTGGGCTCTAAGAAGAAGCCCTGAAATGTACAAGCCAACCTTGTGAGAGTCTGTAGTTTTCTCATCACATTCTCAAAGGAGTCCATGTCCTAATAAATTACTGTGAGCTGCTAATATATATTTTTGCTCTGCTGTATTATGCATATATAGTTTACTCTCCTATAAACCATCTTAGGTTATTATCTACTGGAGAGTTAATATTTTTATTGCCAATTTCTGTGTTTTCTTCCTATAATTATAGATATTAAAATTTGGTCATATATTTTTCTTAATATTCTTTACCTTTTATTATCTATTTACCTGTTACCAATCCATTTATGTTATTTTTTACTTTGTCATGCAGAAGTTTCGGTATTTGAGGTCAAGGCAATGTATTACTCCTTCCCTTTGCTGTTTATTTTATCCCTCTAGTCTTAAAATGTCATCCAAAATACAGAAATATTACGCATTTTCAGTTCTCTTCTGTTATTCTGTAGTCTGATATATACATCCGTATAACTTTAATGCTAATGTAGATTTTAGGTTGGTGTATGTAATGTAATGTTTCATACTTAGCTAATCATTATATTCTTTTATAAATAAGGCCTTTAAGGCCTTGTCAATATGAGCTAGGTAAATATTGCTATTATTAATGGTTTTTTAAAAAAGCCTTGAGTTTGTTGATAATCTGCCACATGGAAAGGTTCATCAAGCTCAGGCATGTGCCACCGTCAACTGGAGCCTAGAGAAACTAGAATTGCCATGGAGTTCACTGTCCATCTTCGGTGTTGGAAATATTAGTGCCAGTGTTGCCTGGCCTCCCTACAATTTCGTGACTCTCAGATTGTTCCCCATTATTTGTGGGCTATACATTTTGTAATGATTCTGAAATAGCTTGCATATCAGATTCTCTATGCAGTTGAACCTTTAACAATGCGGGAGTGAGAGGTGCCAACCTCCTGCACATTTGAAAATCTACACATAACTGACTCTCCCCAAACTTAACTACTAATAGCCAACTGTTGACTGGAAGCCTTACCAATAACATAAGCAGTCTATTAACACATATTTTATATGCTATATGTATTATGTATTGTATACTTACAATAAAGTAACAGAAAAAAGAAAATGTTATTAAGAAAATCATAAGGAAGAGAAAATATATTTTGTATTCATTAAGTGGAAATAGATTATGGTAAGGATCTTCATCTTTGTTATCTTCACAGTTAGTAGGCTGAGGAGGAAGTAAAGGAGTTGGTCTTGCTGTCTCAGGGATGGCAGAGGAGGAAGAGGCAGAGGAGGTGGGAGGCAGGAGGAGTAGGCACACTCTGTGTAACTTTTATTGAAAAAAATCCCTATATAAGTGGACCCTGTGCAGTTCAAACCCATGTTGTTTAAGGGTCAACTGTAATTTATTACTCAAACATGAAGAAAACATTACATCAAAGTATTTTAAATATATTGCCTACGTTCTTTAAGTGCACTACACATGTGCTGTAACTAATAAATCTTCCTCAGTGATTTAAGAGAGCCTCAGAAGAAGCTATACTAACAAATGTAGAGCATCTTTGATAAAAAAGAATTGGAACTACTGAATACTTACTAAGTAAGTAAAGAATATGTCCATATTGCAACCACCCATACCGATTTTAAATATAATAATTAATAATTTTGTATTAGTTTACCATCAATAGTACTTCTATTTAAGTGAGATTTGATTTTATAAATATTATTAACAAAATTGCTGTTAATATTCTATACTACTTTTATCTTTTTATATAGTTTTAGGCCTAATGTAATTGTCCTGTATATTTAAGCAAAGTAAAAACACTCAAAAAAATAGGAAATGCATGTAAATATTATTTGAGTGAGGAAAGTAGTTATTCTAATATTTGTACCTTTTCATAATTTAAGACTTTTAAAATTGTGTGAAATATGCAGTCTATAATTTAATATACGTAATGAACAAAGAATAATAGTTACTTTTTAAAAATATGTTAGTTTCATGACCCAGCTAGAGTTTTGACACCTTAAAAAATAAAAAATCCACAGACTAAATAACTTCTTTTAAAATGTAATTTTTATTAATTTAATAGCTAATTTTGAAAGCAATTATTTAGGTATATAAAATTTTATAAGTCGATGGTATAATTTTTAAAACAATATTGCAGGTTGTCTTTATTATGTTTTTTATAGATAAAATTCATGAAGTAGTACATAAAAACCTACCTTTCTAAATATTTTATTTAAAAAATAAACTAGTGAGAGTAAATTCAGCACTGTTGATTGTAGGTGAATCTTTTAGAGGCAATTTCACACATATCTGGGCTGCTAGAGGAAACCTCTCACACTTCTGTCAGCAGTCTAATGTCAAAAGCACTGTTTTAATTCCCTGAGTAGAAAAGGGAAGATGTTTGGACATAACATTACCATAATAGTTTTGAACTGTAATGACGGTTCGAGGTTGTGTGGAAGATAAGATTCCTTTAAAATTGAATATAACAATGTTCAGAGATTCATAGGTTCTCGATAAATATTTGTTGAATTTATTCGAAGACAACTTCCAAATCCTGTGTGGATGCTTATCATCATACATCCTTGATTTATAAGTTCATTTATAAAGCACTGTTGATTTGAAAAATATTATGGTATGTGCTTCTCAGAAATCTCTCCTAGCTCCTTATCTTTTCTTTTTCTTCTTAGCCTCTTTTATTGATTGTCTTTTTTTCTGCCTGCCTTTTAAATATTGGTATTTCCTAAGATTCCATCCTAGGGTCTCCCTCCATGCTACATGTTCCAGATTATCTAGGCAGCTTCCTCTATTCCTATGGTTTCCTGAGCTGTCTTCTACTTGAACCTTTATTCTCAACTCTAGACCTATTTGCCCAGTTATTTACGTAACATGTCCTGGATGTTATATATGCCTCCTGGATCCCAGGCAGTCCAATGATGTGTTCAATATTAAGCTCATTATCTATTTCTGTCCCCATTCCCAACCCCTCTCCCTGAATAAAGGATATGTATGTTTGCATATAAATACATAACACATGTATATATCTGTCAAATATGTACTTTTCCTCCTGTTTTGGAAAGCCCACTACAGTAGCAGGAGGCCTAGAACTTTTAATTCAAGTCTTTTGAATATAAATCCTCAGCTCAGAGTGTACTCTTTATATCTTCTGAACCAAAATTTAAGATGCATGCTTTGATAATATTTGAAGCCTGAACTTATTATAATTATATCACATTGCTTTTTCATGTCCGCTTATTAAATTGTCAGCATTATAGGAGAGAGACTAATATAATGTAATGTAATATAATATAAAATTGCACATATTATGTAAAATTGCAATTATGCTAAATATAATGTGTGTAGTATAAGATAAATATATATTTTTTAAAAGGTGACTTGACCTAGTCAGGGAGATCAGATAATGCTTCCCTGGGAAGTGACTGAATTGAAATGTGAAGGTTGAAGAATTAACCAGGCAGGATTAGGTTTTGGGGGGGTGGGGAATGGAAGAGTGTTGAAGACAGGTAAGACAGCTTGTACAAGATCTAGCAGTAGGAGGGTGCATGCTATGCGTGTGACCAACTATCCCTGTGCAAAGTAATTTGCAGTCTTATTAGAGATTTTTTCCCCCTCTCATTTCCTTTTCCCCCCTTTCTTCCTTTCTTGCATTCCTCTTCTTAAAAAAATATTTGAAGGTGAAGTTTACATTAAATACAGAATAGTAGAAAGCAAAATATAACTGCTTTTCAAACCGTATAGCAGACTGTGATTTAAATTAGAAGAACCATGAAATTTAAGGGATAAACATAGCCAGGACTTATCTGTAATGCAGCAGCACCAAAAAGAAAAAGGTGTTGTGTGGTGGTGTTTCTACTCTCCTTACCTAAAGTCGTATTAGCATTTATAATCATTGTCCTACATTTTCATAAATGAGGGAGTAACTAAATCCTAGGTAGTTAATTTTCAAATCTTAAAGATGTTATAAGTGATTTCTTTTCTAAGTACATTTTTTACTATGAAGTTTAGCATTCCATATAATCCGTCTTTTGTGTGTTTGAGAATTAATTTAGGCTATAGAAATTCTATTGGAATGTAAAGTGACTTTTGAACTGCACTGAAGTACTCTCTGGTCTGGGCTATTCTATACTTGATGACTTTCTTTATTCTTTTGTTCTTGATATACATATGTATTATCCTTCAAAAGTAATTCTGAAGCTTTGGTCCTCAAAACATTTCTTCAACTCCTCTTTACCCAGTTCTTGAAGAGGAAAATTGTGTTCTAGGCTATAGCTGTTTTAGAATAACTAGATTGATCATCTTAAAAACTCAAGTGATTTACTCATATTTTTCATATGCCTTGGTCCTTTGCTTTTGTTTTATTTTGTTTATTTATGTTTTTATCTTTCCTTATCACGGGCTGAAGTTCAGTGTTCATAACTTCCTTATAGTTCAGTGTCATTAAAAACTTAGTTTGTGTCTGGTTTTCTTTGCAGAAAGGGCTATTGCAAGACATGAAGTCCGAGAAATTGAGCAACGACATACAATGGATGGGCCCCGGCAAGATGCAGCTTTAGATGAGGAAGAGGACATGGTGATCATTTATAACAGAGTTCCCAAAACTGCAAGCACCTCATTTACCAATATCGCCTATGACCTGTGTGCAAAGAATAAATACCATGTTCTTCACATCAACACTACCAAAAATAATCCAGTGATGTCACTGCAAGATCAGGTAATTACTGCTTAGGGAATGCATAAACAAACGTTTTCCGATACTTTCTCAAATTTTGTATCTCAAGGAGATAAAAGTGTTTTAAAGGAATATGTGTGCTAATCTCAATGAATCATAAGCCTATTAGGGGAAGGGACCAATCAACTTTTGTTTAATTTTACTTCACAGTATTTGGTGCATTTCTTTGCATATAATATGTATTCAAATATTTGTGAAATAAAGGAATTAATGAGTAGCCTGAATCTTTTAAGAGAAAATTGATGCTTCTCAGTATAGTATCATTTTAAAAATATGAAATAATTTTGGCAACATGCCCTGCAATAGAAATTTCTCCACTTAAGGTGGAGAAATAGTTGATGAATCCTTTGTACTCAATTTTGTGATTAGCCTCCTGAATCTTATCTCATCTTTAATAATTTGTATAAATATTAGCTATAAAGTCCTGGAGACCAGAGACTGTGGCTTATATTTTCATTATAATCTTGCCTTTTAAATTCTCAAGAAATTTTAGATAAAAAGATGAATAGATAATTTTGTGAAATGGCTTTAAGAAAAGTGGAAGAAATCATCTTATTAAATCAAGTTTACTCTTCTCTTCAGCACTAGTCGCACATATTTCCCACATACCTGTAGTTCTTACTATAATAATAAATAAAGTTTTCTCTGTAAATATTAAAAGGTATGGGAATTTGGCCCTGTAAGAAGAAAAGGTAATATTTGAAATTACTGTTTAGGATCAAATACCATGTTGGAGTAGCCTTATCAGAAAGGTCTTTAATAGTTCTAAAATTAGAATGATATTTATCTGGTTGAAAGCGCTGACCTTGTTTTGTTACAAAATTAACTGTCATCTTACTATTTAGCATAACTATAATCCTTACACTGAAGCAAGAGACTAACATTGATACACTTGATTAAGATTGGCTTTCTTGCTAGAGAGCTATTGGTAAAGGCTAATGGTGTGTGGCATATCATCTGCCCACATAAATCTTGGTTCTCTGCAGGACCCTCCGGTATTACTCTTTATAGAACCAAAAGTCTGCATCTGTTGGCCAAACCAAATAACTCTTCTATAAATGAGAAGAAACTTGAGCTTTTTTTTTAGCTAAGTGGGTCATAAAAACTATTCATTATGTAATATTATATATCTCAAGAGCAAGTATCTTAAATATTCTGTTTTTATACAGCATGTAGTAGGATTTAAGTCTTTTTGCTTTTCAAAATATTCCTTGGTCTAAAAGTGGCATGTCTTTAACATTTACATAATAATTTCAGATTTACTCAGTAGTATTTTTTAGAAAAGTAAAGTTAACTTGTTCAATTTTTGGAGTTATTTTGTGTCCAGCATTACAGAGTTTTCTGGTAGCTACAAGATGTCTGGCAATGACATCAACCATTTCTTTACTGAAATATAAATCTGCAGAAGCTCACCCCATATGACATTTATAGACATCATGTAGTAGTATGTTTTCCCAGTTGCATTTGAATGAGATAAATCTTCTGTTTTTCTTTCAGTAACTTGTTACATATATTTAAAAAAAACAGCAGGAGAAAAGTATAAACACTATCTTTAAAGCAAGTGGATTGCACAATGAACGATACCTAAAACATGTTTATGTGGGGCAGAGTAGAGGAATATTCTTGATCATTAGCTGGCATACTTCAAAATGTCAGCTAGTAGTTCAAAATCTGATCTTAATTAATAATGGCTTATATAATGATTTTCTCTAATATACCATATGTACATTTAGAGAGTTCTATAAAGAAGCAGTTGTTAAAACAAGTCATATTTACTGCTTCCCTTTCTTTTGCATGATATATTACCATTTTTATTTCACTTTCAATTTGGTAAGCTTCGTTTAAGTATAAACTTTAAAAATGTACTAAATTCCTTGAAAATGGTTTTTAAAATATTCACCGAAGCCCATTTTAATATAACATACTTATAATTTTGAGTGTTTTGCCTACAAAAATTTAAAGTTTTCGTGTACTTTTCTCAGCTACTTAAATAGGAATTAAATGACCTATTTTGCTCTTTTTCTTTTCTAAGAAATAGTTTCTAATCAATATGTGACTTAAGAGTGACTTAAAAGATCAGATATTTATTAAATCTGCTGTTGTCCCAAACTTCCAAATAGGTGACAATGCTCTTTATTCCTTCACCTTCCAACCTCTGCAATTTAATCTGCTTGATATCTGCCTTTAGCCCCAGCTCTTTCCTAGGCACATTTTGTACATACTATACCAGCACTGTGCTAACTTTGTTTACATGCTTAATTATTTCTCTCAAATTTTAGAGACAAAGCTCAAATATTTTTAGTCTATTATTGAACAGCTCTTCATATTCTGCTTATCCTTAGAAGTATTTGACAATTCTGCTTTCCAGTTTCTCATTTATTTATTGAGTATGTAATATATACAGAAATTGTGCCATATTATGTGGGGAAATATACGAAAGAAATAAAAAGCAAGGCCACCTCTTTCAAGGAGCTTATTTATAATTTACTTGGGAATGTAAAACATAGACACAGGGACTGTGAGGACAGTTAAAAGAAAATATCAGTTTATGGTAATCTCACCAAAGTGTTTAACCAAAAATATTTCTTGCCAAAACGTTTGACCTAGACAAATACATATTGCAGAACATTCTACAGAACACTATCCTGGACTTTTCTAAAGTGTCTTATGTCATGACAACCAAAAATGAGGGTGGAGGGCAGGCCTCTTTATACTAGAGGAGACTGAAGAGACATGGAAACCAAATGTAATGTGTAATCTGTTACCAAATCCTTGATCAAAAATTATCACGTCCTTGCTTATAGACAACACACCTGAAGTATTTAGGGGTGAAGTATGAATGTCTGCTACTTGCTTTCATATGGTCAGAAACAATTGAGTATGTGCATATATAGAGACAGGGAGAAAATAGAGATAAAAGTGGCAAAATGTTAACAATTAGTGAATTTAGGTGAAGAGTATAGGGATGTTGACTGCACTTTTGTCTCTCAACTTTTCTGTAGTTTAGGGATTTTTTAAAATTAAAAAGTTGGGATAAAAGAAAATGAAAAGCTAAAACAACAAGATTAAAAAATAAACATTTAAAAACATAAAACATGAAAAACTAAGCAATTAGAATGAGGTAGTCTCAGTCATGAGAGTTATATTTTTGAGATGGACTCAGTTAATAGACAGGTATTGGCAAGAGGATCAATTCCTCCAGTTGGAAAATGGAATTTATTCTGCTGTCATGAAATTATCTTTACATTAGAGAACATCCTGTTTTGTTTTGTTTTGTTTTTTAAATAGAAACGGGGTCTCACTTTTGCTCAGGCTGATCTCAAACTCCTGAGCTCAAATGTCCGGCCCGCCTCCGCCTCCCAGAGTGCTAGGATTACAGGCGTGGGCCACCACGCCCGGCCAAGAGAACGTCTTGTTTTTAAAGTGTGCCAGATAGGTGTGATTGACAGCATCTTTTATGATCTTTCTTAATTCTTTTCTGCCCTCATATGTTTAGGTCTGTGATTATGTTTAACTTCTTTTGTTAAGACACTGGAAATATCTAGAATTTTTATTCTCTGTAGCACAACAAAATAATATAAATTTTTTCTTTTAATTCACCCGCAAGCCAATTTCTGGTCATTTGCATTAGAGCTCACAGTTCGCTATGATTTGCAGATACTTTTCAGAGCAATGCTTTAGATGAGAGGTCTCAACATATAATGTGTATACTGATCACTGGTTAAAATGCAGGTTCCACTTCAAAAGGACCAAGATGGAGCCTTATATTCTGAATTTCTAAAAAGCTCCCACTTGGCGCCAAAACTGATGCTGCTGGTCCTTAAACTACAGTTGAAGTAGCAAAGATCAAGAACATGATTCACAGTGGGGATATGGGAAGATGAATATTATACTCTTCCCAGGGGTACTTACCTTTAAATTCATGTTTCTACCTCCCCTACAAAATCCAAATCCTTACCTAGGCCAACAGGACCTTTTTAATGTAGCACTGGCTCATTGCTCCATCCTCTTATCCACTAGCCACCCTGGCCTGGGGATTCATTGCTTGCACCAAGCCTTTCCCATTTTAATGCCTCTGCACTTATCATTTCCTGTTAGAATGTACTTCTCCTGGCTTCTCCTACAGTTGGCTTTATGTTATCCATTTAAAGTTTCAGCATAAATGACATCCTCTTAGAAAAACCTTGCCTGGCCATCCTATACATTAAATACCTCTGCCAACTTACTCTGTACCATATCACTCTCTGTATCTTTCCTAGTACTATTCAGATTACAAAATTATCTTATATATTGGTTTGTTTACTGTCTGTCTTTTCCTCTATTATAAGTCTTTAAGGGCAGTAACCTTGTCTGTCTTGTTCACCACTGTATCCTGTGCTCAGAATATGGCCTGAGACATGGTAGGTGCTTTATAAAATATTTCATTAAATGAATGATACATGAACAAACAAATGAAGCAATTTAGATTCTGATAGTAGTTCCTATCTAAACATGATACCAGAATGATAATTACTGGCAGAGTGAGTCCCTCTTATTGATGGGAGTATAATCTATCCTTACCTCTCAGATGATTTGGGAACCCCCACGTGACCATCCCACAAAACAAGTTGATCAACATAGCTCTGAACCTCAGTGAAGATATGTTCTGTTGCTGCTAAACTTTGCTTATATTTTTATCCAACCACTACTTAGTTTGCCTCGTGGTGTAGAAAACATATTGTCTCATTTAGTCTCATAAAAGTACCCGTGGCCATACAAGAAATGTCTATTTTAAGTAAATGCATAGGTAGGAATTTTGTATATAGTAATTACTCAAGTTAATAGTAGTATTCTTTCAACAGATAGTAATTACAAAGTTGGAATTTAGCCAGGATTTTCAGGGTGACATTTCTACTCCTTTAGATAGTGAAAACAAGCTCTTTTGTCATCACAGTCATAATGTTGAGATTAATGTATTAAGAATGTAGGTCAAGATACTACGGTTAGAGAGATGGTGCTTTCTTAGCCTTTTCCTGTAGCACTGGTTCAGGTCTGATTCGACTAACAAATAAATCACAACAATGCTAGCTACATTGCTTGTGTTTCCCCTAAAGGTCTCTTCTTATTACTTGCTAGCCTGACTCTGCTTGAGTTATAAAATCTGACAAAAATCACAGTTTAAGATCTGCTCCAGGCTAGTGGTCAAAACATCTTTTCATGTACTATGTCTAACTGCTACTTCTGAAACATTCTTCTTGATAGTATATTTCTTTTCCCCAAGCCAGAGTTTTCAATGTCTTCAGTCTTCTTAACTTCATTTGGTCCTGTTAAGTTTTGCTTCTTTTTTGCCTATCACTTTACCTTTTATTACTCCCAAATGTAGTCGGTAAGGATCCATAAAATGAACTGAATAGAAGCTTACTCACCCAATCTCAGTTTACTCTTCTTACTCCTCTGAATTCCAGAGTCTTGTCATGAAGTCTTGGGCAGAATGCCCCCGTGTAGAGAAAACACCAGAAGCAAACAAACTGAAAGACAAAGCAAATGGTCCGGGGGAGGTGAGGAGGCGGAAAATGATAGAGCAGGCCTGGAACTGGACTGATGAAAGAGATGGAGGTGAAAGAGTAGAGACAGGGAGAATTCTGGAGAACTAACGATCAGTATTAAACATGGCTGAAAGGAGAATTTGAAAAGAAAACTTCTTTAAAATACTCCTTTTCAAAGCAGGTTATGTTCTTTGGAGAACAGTTTTGAAGAAGAGATAAAGATGGTATGGAATTTCAGTAGTATGTAAATGGCACTTCGGAATCCTCAGGCTATTTTCCAGATTATTGTGAACAACCACTTTAACTGTATTGACATCTTTTGTTTGCTTAGCACTTTTTTCTTCCTCATGAAGGGAAGGTAAATCTCAGTTTAAGATCTTTTGATTTTTCACAATTTGTAAATCAGCCACAGTTTTATTAATGAGACTTTACTGCCTTAGTTAAATGTTGATGAGATGAAAGAAAAACATAGATATATATATAAAGTATGTAGCCTTTGGATATTCTTTTATTAATACTTGGGAGATTAGAAAGAGATTCTGTGTGTTTTGGAAACGTTAACAATAGTAGAATCTAGAGAATTTAAAAAGCAATAATAATCTACCTGAATTTACTTCAGATAGCGTAAATTTTAGGAAATAAAGTTCAAAATCCTATATAGATATTTAGACTTAGATTTTTGGTTTTGACCAGCAGTACTCAACAATGCCTGGGATTACCCAAGACAATAAAAAGAGAGGGGAATATAAATCAAGGGTTATTGTTGAAATGAGTGTCCATTAAGAGAGTAGTGATCAGGGTGGATTAGAAATTGAGATAATGATGAAAGTAATGAGTGAATCCGTAAAGAAATAAACAGTTGAGAGAATTGTATCAACCGGGCTTTGACATCTCGGAGAGGTGAGGGAGTTTGAGTGACTGGACCTGAGGGATTAATTTAGTGGTGGATAAAACCTGAAATTTTCAATGTCTACATTTGTTAATCAAAATCATGATGTGAATGAGGTCTGTTGTCTTTGCCTTTTAAATCCTTCCTTTTTTGTCTCCCCTGTTTAAGTTGGACAGTAATAAATTAAGGAAATTAGCTAATGGCATAGAGGGATGATTGTATGAAAACTTAAGGTATGTGGTTCTTGGGCTTCAGTTTCTTTATTATAAAATAAAGAGTACAGGATGCCTAGGTCCCTTTCATCTCGAAAATTCACCTCTGAAATTTTGAGTCTGTAAACAAGAGCTGGCAACAACAGAGGAAAATTCGTACCTTGTTCTGTTCTCTGCCTTCACCAAAGTCTTCCCTGAGACCAGCTGGAGGCACAGACCTTTCTCTTATTTCATTCGTTTTTAAACTATGTTTCATGGAATGCTTGGTTCCAAAATACTATAGGCATCACTTGGGAGGGGGGCGTGAAGAGCAGACAAAGTAGGCAGGGTTCACCCTGCTTCTGTTTCCCTTTCAATTTTATATATTATGGTAGCTTATAAAATTACCAGAAATTTTGCTCTTTTTCAGTATACTTTTACTGAAACAGTGATTGTGAGAATATCCTTGCTAAAGAGCTTCTGTAGACCTCAGGCCTCCTTCGCAAGCATTGTGACAACAAGCCTCATATTAATCAAGAGCTAGCCCCTGGCCCCACACATGCTGAAGCCTTGCTCCTCAGTGTGGCCCATGGACCAGCAGCATAGCCATCACCTGCAGATTTGTTGTAAGTGCAGAATCTTGGGCCACACTCCAGAACCGCTGAATCAGAATCTTCATTTTAATAAGAGTCCCAGGTGATTCATTTGCACATTCAAGTTCGAGAAGCCTTGTAGCAGTCCAGGTATTAATTGAGCTTTCTGGGCTCTTCAACTTATGTTGAAGGACACACATTTCATTCATCCTCAGGAGAGGATTTAGTTTAATATTGACCATCCTTAGGAAGACTGGAGGGAAAATGGATTGGAGGAAAAAGGATGCTTGAAGTTTAGACCTGAGTCTTATTTCTGTCCGAGTCCTTCACCACAGTATACTCCAAGTTTGTATTGTGATCTTCCCTGACATTTGGCTTATGTGACACTGTTCTCTAAGATATCGGTCTAGCATCTCCTTTCATTTCCCTGCTATACCACCACGTCCATATTAAATCTCAGCTTCTGGAAAATAGAACTGAGTTGCTAAATATATCTTAAGCTTCCTTAAACCACTACCTCTAGTTCCTTATTCTCTTTGCCTTCTATATTCCTCTCACTTTTGGCTGAAATACTGAAACTGATTTTCACAAAACCAAAGATTTGTATGAAATAATTTACCATTAAGTGACAGTTATAAGATCTTTTCATATTCAACACGTAAAATTTTTTGAGGATTCAGATTTTGGATTATCTAATTTTTTGTATTTTCTGTTTCCTTTTCCTTTGCAATTTCATATTTTCATTCTGTTTGGTGCCTTAGTTGAAGAACAAATAGGAAAAAACATGAGACCCTCAAATCACACATTTGTTTGGCTCTTTTGGTTTCAGTGGGGAAAAAATTGAAAAAATCTGCTCCAGTGACATTATATATTTTCTCACGCAACCTAATTTTATCTACATTCAATTTTCAGATTTTAAGTGTATGTATATACATAGAGAGGATATCAAGTAAGGCTTATTTCTTTTCCCTTCTAAAAGCTCTGTTATTTCTTTTAGTATATGAGTTGTTAATGCTTCCCCTAAAAAATAAATTCTCTCAGAAGCTTTCATTTTCCCTAGTTCACATTCTCTGACATATGGCTGCCTCTGCACTGTTTCCCTTTCTTACCCTACCAGTAGGCCTTTCTAGGAGGCAGTCATCATCTTCATACCATCGTTGCTGGTATGAAGTACTCTGGAATATCTCCATGTGACTAACTATTCTAAAATGTAAATGAAGGGTTGATAATTTGTCAGAATTATACAATTGACAGTTCTGTGCTTTAGAGGCTGAGGTCACAGCTTGCAGATACTTTCAATGCAGCATAGCTTGGTGGGCCTCCCCACCCCTACCCCCTGTACTGTGTATAGTTTCCAAAAGAGATTCTTAACTACTTGCTATTTATCATGCAGAGATTTGCTTATTGCAAATCTATACCATTTTCCTTTAAGAAATTTTTTATCACTGCTTTGTAGCTGGTGATACTTAAGATTATCAAATTCTGTATTAACCAGTTCTTAGAAATTTTTAAATATATTTACACTTTTAGAATTTTTTATATTAACCTTTTATGTACTCTTAATTCCAATAAATTAAGTAATATTTAGATATTAAAAAATTTTTATTTGCTCTATATTACATCTCTAATTAATCTTTTTATCATCAAGCTTATGATATTTACTGTTTATTCTTTAAAGTCTTCTGATAATCATTATCTTTCAAAAAAGTAATTTTGTCAGGCCAAGCATGGTGAGTCACAGCTGTGGAGGATTGCTTGAGGCCAGGAGTTCGAGACCATCCTGAGCAAGAACGAGACCCTGTCTCTACAAAAAATAGAAAAATTAGCCAGGCATGGTGGCATGTGCCTGCAGTCCCAGCTACTCAGGAGGCAGAGGCAGGAGGATTGTTTGAGCCTAGGAGTTTGAGGCTGCAGTGAGCTACGATGACACCACTGCACTTTAGCCCGGGGAACAGAGCAAATGTCTGTCTCCAAAAAAAAGAAAAAATCATTCTGGTTTAAGGATTAATTTTATTTGTTGAGTCATTAATAAAAATGATTTTTTTATGAATAGCAAGCCTCTGAGAAGAAAACATTTAATTTGCACAGAATGTCCCTATATTACAGTGTTGCGTGCGTCAACATGGGTGTCAATAGGGGACAGATACCTACACACTTGCCACCACTCTCCTTCCAGCCCACCAACCACCCCATGTAGATGTACTCACTGTACAGTCTTGGGAACGATTTCATTGTGTGATTTTGTTTTCAGAATTATCCTTTATTCTTTCCTGAGTGTGGTGATAGTAGCGCTCTCTATGATGAATTTGTAGTTACAGATTATACTATACTTTCCTTAGTCCAAATCTGTGTTTCAAGCTGTGTTAATTGCCAAAGTGGTACAAGTGGTTTAAATTTCTAACTTGTAAGTGTTTTGCTATCATTAAATTTCATTTTCCTTAAATTGTACTTAAGTAATGAGTGCATTCTTCCTTTTTAGGTGCGCTTTGTAAAGAACATAACTTCCTGGAAAGAAATGAAACCAGGATTTTATCATGGACACGTTTCTTACTTGGATTTTGCAAAGTAAGTTACACCTAAAATGACACACTAAAGAACGCTTTGTGGTTTAGCAACTTACAAAGGAATAAATTTATTAAATTGTTATGATTTTGCTGAAAAAAGAATGCACTGACTTTACCACATTTAGATCTGTAATTTAAATGTATATTAATACTACCTTCTAGTGTTTTTCTGCCCTCTAGTGTTCATAAATTGTCAATTCTCATAATATAGAAATTTGAGTTATGTTAAATTTAGGTAATACTCTTTAAGGTTATTTATCATCATTACGTTATGTTTCTTATACAACCAGAATGACACTATTTCAGGAGAGCTTAGGTCTTAACCTAGAGGCCAGATTATGACTTACCCCATCATTGAGAACTGAGAAAGCAAAGAAGCGCCACTCAGCTATTGGTGCCCCAGTGCATCTATTTCTCAGCCAAGACATAGTGAAGTAAGCACTTTCCCTTGGGCTGCCTTGTTTTAGCTTTAAAATTATGATCTCTTGAGAGCCTTTAAAAAAATGAATAATGATTTCCTTTTATGTTTGAATTTGTCTGTGATTGGAGATAAATAAATCTCATCCCATATTTTGGGGGAGGAATAAGGTCAGGGTATTTCTATCATAATTCTGTTAAGAAAAGTTCAAAAAACTATAGTCCTCCTCATAGTATTCAAGCACTGTGTGGCTCCCACTAGAGTCTTTGCCACATTATTAATCATAAAATTGGTTAAAAGTAATATTCTAATTAGTGGAGCATGGTGGCACATGCCTATGGTCCCAACTCCTGGGGAGGCTAAGGTGGGAGGATTGCATAAGCCCAGGAGTTCCATGCTGCAGTGAGCTATGACCATACCATTGTATTCCAGCCTGGGCAACAGAGAGAGACCCTATCTCTAAAAAAATTTTTAAAATAAAAAAAAAAAACACTAATTTTTTTTAAATTATTTAAGCTTAGACATGTTCACTCAGCTTTTAAATTAGCAGTTATGACTCAAAAAATATACTCTCTTGTGTTTGTCAACTTTAAAAGGCATTCTTCATAAAATTTAAAATGAGAGTGATATTCCACCCTCACTTGACTTCTTAAATTTGAAAACAAAAAGAATAGAATGAAATAGTATAGATTCAGATTGATAATAAATCTTAACTTTTTTGGAAATCATGTAATTAAAAAGGAATCACCCAAATATTATATATGTGAAATGATATATTTCTATTTCTAGTTTCTCCTACAGTACTCAAGATCTTACAATAAAATGGTAGCTTTAAAGTTAGATGTACATTTTTCTATAAATAATTCATACTCCAATATTGAAAACATTTTATAGACAGCTTTAAAATAAACTAATTATTTTTTCTTTGCAGAGGCATTGAACCAATTTCATAAACTTCATTCAAATGCGTATTTTCCCTCAGGGCTGCATTATCCTTGAATTGAATGTTTGTTACCCTTTCACCTAAATGATTTATTTTTTCCAAACACAGCTTGGTTTCTAATATTTTAGGTTTTCATTATTAAAATTATATATTGAGTGCTTTTGCTTTTGGCAAAGTCTTGTACTTAGAACAAAGTTCTGGTATATACTGGGGTTCTTGCAGTTGAAAGGTAAAAGCTTTTTGAAAAGATTAATCTTGTTTATTAAATACTGACATGAATTTTTAAGGGTTTGAGTATTTTCATAGTGGGTCTTACGTTATTAGAGGTGAAAAGTATTGTGAAAATTTTTAATAGGCTTTTATAAGATTTTAAACAAATACCTAAATAAAATCAACTAAAGGAAATATACTGTGATATATGTATATAGTCAAGAACTGTTGTAGGTATAACTAGTATCTTTTAAAATATCTTTTAGCTTGATAGCCATACATTCCATGATGAGTAAGGAAGAGGAAAGAAACATCACCTTACTGATTTTTACACTTGATCTTAGCCAAAGGGCCAAGAAGGGATTACCAATTTTAAAAATACAGCTATTCCTTGGTATACACCAGGAATTGGTTCCTGGACCACTCATATACCAAAGTCTTTGCATACTTAAGCCCTGCGGAACCCTCATATTTTAAAGTCAGTCCTCCATATACACAGGTTTCTTCGTCCCACAAATACCATATTTATAATAGATCTGCATTTGGTTGAAAAAAATCCACCTATAAGTGGACTTGTGTTGTTCAAGGGTTACTTTATTCTTCCACACAGTATGGAAGTACTGTATGGCATAGTACTTTGTGGAGTCCAGTAAAACATTTGCCGTTAGGAGAAAATGGTGAATTTGGCAACAGAAATATTGAATCGCATAGTTTTTTCAGTTGCTTGGCAGAGACATTGAAAAGAGGGTAAAGAATTCCAGGAAATAAGAAATGAAAAATGAAAAGTCCTCTCTAGTTTGGACTTACAACTAAGCAGCACACATTGTATTTACAAGTTTGTCTGCTCAAGCCATGTTTTGGTTACTTACTTTTGGGGATTTTTTGAGAACTTTAGAATAATAACAAAATATCCTCTTTTTACATTTTTGTATTCCTATCCTATCTTGATCCTTTTTGTCTGAATCCTTTGATTTTCTTTATCATATTTCCTAGTTCTTCTTTCTATTTTTCCTGTTAATGTTCAGTTACTGTTTTGTTTTCTTTTTAATTGGTGGACAACACAATTTTAAAATAATGTATTAATAGATATGATAATGTCATAAATTTAGAAATTTTCCAGTTTAAAATTATTTAGGTTGAACATTTTCAAAATATCCTAGTGTATAGGAAATACGAAGTTGAATAAATTGCAGATCTTGACCTTAATGAGTTCACTGAAACCCCATTTTTTTCTGTAATTATCAGTTCATTATGTTTTACTATAAACAGTGAAAATATTAGATTACCTCCACTTTTTAAATTTATACTGTTTATTTTTTAGTGATATCTATTACCCCACTTTGATTTTCTTCAAACTTTAGAAAAGAAAAACATTAGAACATCTCTTCCAAAATCCTTTTTCAGTAATAAACATTTCCCTTCATAATAATGATTAGCTAAAAGAAAACTTTTAATGCTGTACTTTCCATCAGACACTGCTGTGATTTTTTAATGATCTAGCTACCTCAGGGTCACATGTTAGCATCTGTCTTAGAAAGATATTTGAAAATTGTTTTTGATGTAACTGTTTTATTCAGGCACACATCAGGTGTGTGCCTTTGTGGTTGTTCCCAGAAACAAAAATGAGTTTTCATCAGGGTCATTTTGGTTTTTCCATATTACCTCTTTTATTTTCAGAACAAGTGAGCTGAATCATTAAAGAAGCAGATATGTCAGGACAAGAAACAAATAACTAAATGCTTCACTAGGTCTGAAATATCCTAGAGGAGGGTAATACATGACCATATTTTAGGCCTAAATAGAATTTGTTAGTATATAATTCATGTGACATTGTTCTTTTTACCTAATACTTCTCTGCTGAACCAGGGGAAGTTTGCACCATTTTCTACAACTTTTAACAAATATATCATAATACCGTAGAAACTTTTAAAAATTATTTTAATCAGTGGCTGAGCATGTTGGCTTGTTCCTATAATCCCAGGCAGGAGTATTGCTTGAGGCTAGGAGTTGGAGACCAACCTGGGCAACATCGCAAGACCCCATCTCTACAAAAAATTTTATTTTAATTAGCCAGTGTGGCACTCACCTGTAGTCCCAGCTACAGGTGAAGTGGGAGGATCACTTGAGCCCAGGAGTTGGAGATTTCAGTGAACTATGTTTGTGCCAATGCACTCCAGCCTTGGCAACAGAGCAAGACTTTGTCTTAAAAAAAATTTATTTTAATTATTATAGGCAATATGGGGGAGTGGCTTTTTTATTGACCTTGTTTTGCTACCTCTTTCTATAGCGCTGATCCTTTAGACTGCCAAGGAGCAATCTTTGAAGTCAGACAGATCTGCCATTAAATCCACTTTGACTCCTTGCCAGCTCTGTTATCTCAGCCACATTATTTCAGATCTTTGAGCTTGTTTTCCCTTTTGTAAAACGAGGATAATTAAAGTAATTACTTCATGGGTGGTAGTGAGGATTAAATATGATAATGTGTATGAAGCACTTAGTTCTGTGCCTCATACAGAGCAGTGGTATGATTCTTTTTAATTTTTCTCTCCTTTTAGTCTTAACTGGTGTTTTCTTCTTCTCCCTGTCTGAATCTCTGCTGGTCCTTCTTATTCCCAACTCTTAATTAGGCATTGCACGAGATTTTGTCTCCATTATTCCCTTTAGGAAAGTTTATACGTTTTTATCTGTCAGGACACCCAGGCAAGAAACTTTACAGTCATCTTGGACAACTCTTTTAGTCACTACCTATATCTTATTAGTCACTAAGTCTTTTGAGTCTGCCTTCTTTCACTTAACATAATGCTTTTGACATTCATCCAGTTGAATGCGTATATCAGTAGTTGTTCCTTGCTGGGTGGTATTCCATTGTATGGATGTACCACACCTTCTAACCATTCACCAGTTGCTGGATATTTTGGTTGTTTACAGCTTTTGGTGATTGTGAATAGAGCTGCCAGAATGTTTGTGTATGGCTTTTATGTGGACATATGCTTTAATTTCTTTTGGATAAAAACCTAGAAATGAGATTGCTAGATTGTATAGTAACCGTAAGAAACTGCCAAACTTTTCTCGAATGATTGTATCATTTTGTGTCACCAACAGTGTTTAAGAGCTCCAGTTGCTGTGCGTCTTCACCACCATTTGGAATTGTTAAACCCCCTCTTAGTTTTTTTTTTTTTTTTTAATTTGAGCCATTCTAATAGATGTATAGTAGATGAATGCCCTTTTTAATACATAAATAAATTTCTTTAAAAATCACTTATTTACAACATTATTGTCAGTGGAACCAACAAATACCAACAGGTCATTCACTTTTTTTGAAATAAGACAGTGTGAACTTGCTATTAGGATTAGAAAGCTTCTATAAACCCTTTAGGCTAAGCTGGTCCAGAATAAATATGTACAAGGTATAAATGTCCCCCCAGCAAAATTGATGCTTAAGTAGAGATGTTAAACCTAGTATGAAGCAGAAATCTCAAAGCTTCCCAAAGGCCGTTAAGCCCTCTTTCAGCTTCATCATCTCCCCTTTAGACTTTGTCTAGCCAGTTGACAAGGTTTCTTACAAATGTTCTGAGAATGCATTTGTTCTTTTAACCATTCTTGTTGTTCACTTGTCTATAGAAGCTATCTGTAGAGGGTAATTGTAAAGAAATGAACCTAGCTTATGTTCCTTGCTTCGTCATGCATCATATGCTTACATAGCAAGAATGAGGCTCCCAAAACGTCTTACCCACCTGCTGCTCAGATGATGTTTTTTCCTTTTTGATTTTCACCCGCAGATTCCTACCAGTATGTACTTCTTTTCCTGGGAAGATTATGTTCTAACAGGTCAACGAGTAGGGATGAGTTTTCTACTCTTCCACCTGAACCTTCCTGCTGAATAGCTCAAATGACTGGCTAAGGTTAAGGGTGGAGTCTATGATCTCTTTGCTTTTACCCCTGTATAAACTACCTGGTTGGCAAGAGAGTTAAACTGACAGTCCTTCTTAGGTCCTGTTTTCTAACTGGCTGAGCTGAGTGGTCCAGATACTATTTTTTAATCATGCCCATTATGTTATAACCCCTTGCCTCCAGCCCTTCATGTCTGTATAACCATTACCTAAATTACACATAATAGTTCTTATCCATTTTCAGAATGAGTTCACAGATTGTCTAATTAAAATCATATTTCATACATGATAAATGCTACCCAAAGCCAAGATAGCCATTTCCTGGGCAGCAAGAAGAGTTTTGTAAAATGCTATATCCCCTTTCACTGCTGCTTGGTAAGAATTGCTATCTGCTTCACATGTCAGCAACTAAGGGAAAGGGGAAGAGGAAACATTTCTGGGAGATATTCTTCTGCCACGAGGTAATTCCCAAGAGAATGGCCCACGGTGGGGCAATGGCTAATAATGGAGAGGATAGAGGGGGTTCCCAGGGAATCTCAGTTTTAAGAATGGAATCAGTAACCCATCGTCCTGTGTTCTCCCCTTCTTGTAGCTTCCTGTTAAAAGACTCAGCTCTGTGAGCTAAAGTAGCAGCTATGTGTTCCTGGTGCCTCCTTACTTTGTTCTCACTACTGAGTGTACTCTCCCACAGAAAGGCTTTTGTACTTAGAAAAACTACAAAGCTAATTCACAACAGTCTATTCAACCCAATAAGGTGGTACCTAAGACATAAGGCAAACAAACCAGACGAAGGAGTTTGGATTTGATATTAACTGATCAGTAGAGTTATTTCAGATTCCTAAGAATCCTAAGAAGAGTGATTTAGGAACAACAGTTGAAAATTGATATGGAAGGTAGACTGAAAGGGAAGAGATTGGATGCAAGAAAACCAACAAAATCATTGTGGTAATCTAAGCAAGAGGCTAAGGAAGAGGGCAGTGGTAAAGGACAAGAATGATAATGACAGGTCACATCTGTGAGAAAGCTTACAAAAGAAAAATCAAAAGGACTTTGTAATTTTATTAAATGAAGAATAATGGAAAGGGAAGAATCAAGATAACTGTAACATTTCAAGACTGGAACAGAGGAGGATGTTAGAACAGGGAGCCAATTGGACAATTTTAGGGTCTGCAAGGATTGCCAAAGTAAAAGTCTGTGTTCCTTCAACTCTTTATCATTCCCTAAAGAAATAATGCTGAAAACCTAATGTCTTTTACTTGTATCTTGTCTTTAAAATCAGCAACAGAAGGTAGATTCAGATGGTCACTCTTGTGTTGACTAGTACTTGATAACATCAATAATATCTACCTAGTTTGGTGAGCTAGAAATGAGAAATCATTGCTACATATTTAATGCAGATTTGAAACTCATTTTGTAGCACCAGATGAGAGATTATGAAATGTAATAAAAATACTTTTTTATAAGTTCATTTTAAAATTATAAAGATTAAATTCTTTCTTAGTAATTTTCTTAGTAATATGTGTGCACTAATTTAAAAAGGAATTTTCTACTTGGACTTGAAATCTAATAAGGGTGTAGTATGAAAATGTTTTATGTAATTCTTGCCAGTAAAATTTAAAATTATTTTTCATTCATTTTTCTCTTCTTTTCTTTATCTTCAGCTGTAATTTTTAAATTCTTATTTCTTATTTACTTTATTGTAACATAATCATGAAATATTTCCCAATCTCCATGTATTCAAATTATTTAAATTAATTCATGTTGTTCTTTCCACGTAGGATCAATACTTCAAACTTATACATATATTTTCAAGGTACCCCTAAACAGAATGAAAATGCTGATTTCACCTTTTAAATTTTGTTTTATTTCAGATTTGGTGTGAAGAAGAAGCCAATTTACATTAATGTCATAAGGGATCCTATTGAGAGGCTAGTTTCTTACTATTACTTTCTGAGATTTGGAGATGATTATAGACCAGGGTTAAGGAGACGAAAACAAGGAGACAAAAAGGTAATATCTTAGTTTTAAGATTTTTATAACGATAATTGTTTAGGAAATGCATTGGATAATGTGCTTTTTAAATTTGTTGTCAATTATAAGTATAATATTTGCTTATTGTGAAAATTTTGAAAACAACCCAAAGTATAAAGGAGCCAAAGGAAGACTACTTATATAGTTCATATCTTGTAATATACATAATTTTTTGTGATTTTTAAAAATATTGCACTTCTGTTCCTGGGCTATTTGTTTTATTATAGTCCTAATAATTTTCTATGACACTGTTATAATTATCCATTAATATTATGTATTTTTGTATATTCTTTGGTTCTCTTAGTCTTGATGACAATTTATATTTGTTATCATCAGTTTAGGTACGCTATCTTGCTAAAGCAGCTATTTTTTCAGACAAAGAAAGGATAATGGCTCAACAAAGTTTTTATCAGGTTTAGGTATGGGTTGTCTTCCATTTCATTGTATCCTCTAGAGTATCACCGGAGTTATTTTTCTAAGAAACAAACTAGTTTGTCACTTTTCTGGTGGGACACCCTTACTGGGACCTCACTGCTCACAAGATTATCCAGGACATAGGAGACACAATTGGACATGATCTGAGCCCTACCTCTCCTGCCTAATTTTCCTTCCAGCACCCTGTGCTTCATCCACATAAAATGTCACTGTCCTTCAAGCTTATTATTGCTTCCTACTTTTTGCACATGTGTTATTCCCTGTATTTAGAATGCCTTTTCTTTACTCTAGAAAATTCTTTGTCCACCTTTAAGATCCAGCTTATATGTTATAATACTTCTTCTATAAGGTCTTTCCTGATACCTCTAGGCAGAGTTAGTCATGCCCCTTTCAGGGCTCCCAGAGCACTCCATTCAAATCTATTTCTAAGCGTTTATTTTGTAGTAATTGGATTATCTGTTTACATATTGTCTTCTTTAAAATATGGTGAACTTCCTGAAGCATTTATTTCATTCATTTTGTTTTCCCAGTATTTAGCATGGTACCTAGTTTACCTGCTAAGTGCTTAGCAAATGGTTGAAAGTGTGAATTCTGCACATTCTAAACCTAAAGTGTTACACAGTAGTGATGCTACATACTTGGTATATTATGCTAATCAACATCCAACAATTTTTTTCGAACTTAGATGTGCCCTCCGTGTCACATGAAGGGGCAGTGGTTTTTTGTTTTGCTTTCCTTTTTTATGATTTCTAGAAATTTCTGTTTCTTTCCTGGCCTTAAAGCTTTAGGCAGAAGGTACTGATACAAACACAGATAACTGACCAAATTGTTTTTTTTCAGTGTTCACCTGCCCATCTCTTAGCATTATTTAATCTTATAAAAATATTTGTCATTATGGAGATTCTACAAAAGTTTATAAAATCTATTAATGCAACTCTTTTGTGACCTATTTAGAATTTATTGACATTTATTTCTAAATTTACTTGAGCTTACTACCCCCCCCCAAATTTTAGCCCTATTGTTTACATTAACTCTTACTCAGTAAATGTTAGTATCCATCTCCTTCTTACAACCAAAGTAGTATTAGTGTTGGTAAGGAAAAGATTTGCAGTCATGTAGGTCTCTACATTCATCATTTGTCACGTCAGCCCTGGATAGCATGGTTTTATGGTTGCTATCCTATGTAGTTTGAGGAATTGGGTAATAATAATACTTAGTAATATTAATAATAATAGCTCATATTTATTGACTGTTTATTGTGTACCAAGCAGTATTTTAAGTTATTTGTATGTATTTTTTCAGGTAGTTTGCACAACAGTTCTATGGGATGTTTGCTGCTATTGTCCTCATTTTTACAGAGAAGGAAACTGAGGCACAGAGGTTAAATACCTTGCCCAGTGTCATGCAACTAGTAAATGGTAGAGCTGGAATTTAAACCCAAGCACTCTAATTCTAGAGCCCATAGTCTTAAGCTCTTTATATCCTTTTAAAAGGAGGAAAAAGTCATTTCTGTGACTTGAAAGAAAATAAAAGTGACTTTAGGCCAGAGTAGTCACTGGAAAGACAGTCTTCGTGTAAACTAGATTGTAGAGGGAAGGCACTTTTAGAGGAATAAAATGTAGTCAGCAATGGAATATAGATTTGGGGTACACATGACATGCCTGAGAAACTACTAAACAGGTTACTCTGGTAAAGATGGAAGTTACACATAGAGATGAGGCTAGAATGGCACATTGAGGTCAGATTGTGAAGCTTTCCTGAAAGCCAGGATGTGGCGTTTGGGTTTTTTTTTTTTTTAAGGTATTGAAAGCTACTGTAGGTTTCTGAGTAGAGGCTGTTACAAGTGACTACTTAGCTAATCTAGTAACTGTACAGAGCAGATTGGAAGGAAAAGTGGGAAAGGGAGCCCAATTAGGAAGCTATTGTAAGAATTAAGAAATGAAATTGTGAGATCCTGATGAAAGTAAGGATTGAAAAAGAAAAGATGGATTGGAAAGACATTACCTCAAAAATGTGAAGTGAGGGAGAAGAAAGAGTAATAAATGTTCTGAGATCTTGAGTCTGAGTTACAAGGGGCAATATAATCCTATTGCCAGAAATGTTGAATATGAAGTAACACTGGAAATTCAAATAAAAATGCACAGTAGGTATTAGAAGATAGATAAGAAGTGATAGATCTGGGGGTACATATTTCGAAGTCTTTTGCCTAGAAATTATTAATTAAGTCAAGGAAATGGGCTAAGGAAGGGAGGGGGCAAACAGGATATAGCCGAGATTAATTGCCACACTTGGTAGAAGGACCAAAATATGTCTTCAAAGAAGATGATGATAGTATATTCAGAAAGGTAAAGAGAACCAACAAAAGAAGCCAAAAAGGGGAATGTTCAAAGAAGTATAAAAGAATGTATCAGTGGCAGAGAGATCAAGAGAATTTTCAGAAAGGTGAGGGTGGGGCCAAATGCTGTTAAGGTCAAAGAGAACAAGAACCAACAAAACATTGTACCTGACTATTATTAGGTAGGAGAAGGGGGGAAAGAGACAGACAGACATAAACACATTCCATTTATGGAATGCCTATGAACCAGTTATTGTGGTAGATTCTTTTACATTTGTGATTTTATTTATTCCTCAAAGTAAGATTATGTCCTCACTTTTCACATGAGGAAGCTAACACAAAACTTAAGTTCCCCAGGTTTAGGATTCAAACCCAAGTCATGGATCTTTTTACTATTTCATGGTGAAAGTTATCTGTAAAAGAAATGGGTGAATAAATTTGGGTTGCAGTTTGCTGTTGCCTCTTGAATGTTGCCAGAATAAAGAGAATCATTCCAGTGTAGCTCCAAATATAGCCAGTTCTAAAGATTTTTTTGCCTTATTCTTTAGAGATCTTTGGTTGAAAGGACCCTCTGAGTTTATCTAACTGTTGGACTAGAAAAGCGAGGCCTGGAGGCCTTAAAGAACGTACTCAAAATAGAGTCAAACTTGGTTCTAGAAACTCACTTGGCACTGAAGATGAGTGCTCTTTCTGATTTTTCATATTTCCTCCTTGCGGAAGTAGCAAGCAGTGTTTGTAGATGGCTCACTGCAACAAACTTGCAAACCTCCCAAGTTTGTTTTCTAGTATCTCTGTTATATAATCTCAAGTAGATAATTTCCTTTGGTAAAAAAATATACATACACAAATTCAAAATAAACTAGTACTTATTTTCAGGGACAAATTATTGTCTAGAGGAGTTTCCATTCGTATGATAAAATAATTCTTACAAACATGAGCATAAAACAAAGTCGTGAGAAATATTCATGTTTAACTTTCTTCAGCATCTCAAGTATACTTTTGTAACCTGCCTATCCCTTTCATTTTACTGTCTCATCCCACTTATTTCTGCCTATTTATTTAACAACTTACCATACTAAGATATTTGATAGGTGAGACTTGGATTTATGGCTTACCTATGCTGCTTTGTCTTTGCTCCAGACCTTTGACGAATGTGTAGCTGAGGGCGGCTCAGACTGTGCTCCAGAGAAGCTCTGGCTTCAAATCCCGTTCTTCTGTGGCCACAGCTCCGAATGCTGGTAGGGAGATAAAGTTGGCTTAAATCAATCATCTTCTTTAGTTTTAGGTCATTAAATATGAAATGTCCGATTTCGAATCAAAAGTTTATTATATCTCAAACCAGAAACAGCACACTTAATCAAAGTATGTGCCTAAGCTATCGACACAGTTTTGCCATCATAACAGTAGCTTGTTTATGCCAGCAGAAGAGAAGCCTGGAGGGTGAGTGGCAATGAAATCTCGAAAGGCATTTTCTACAGCTTGTTGAGAATTGAATATTTTTCCTTGCTAGAAGTGGTCCAAATCCTGGAAGAGGTGGTAGTCAGTTGGTACAAGGTCTGCTGAATACAGTGGATGACAGAGAGTTTCCAAGTCCAGCTTATGTAGTTTGAGCATCGTTGTTTGTGCAACAAGCGGTCAAGTGTTGTTGACCAGCAAGAGGATTGGTCTGTCTCTATTGTCCAATCTCAGCTGCTTAATTGCAAGCATCTTCATCATTTCGTCCAATTGGTTGCAGTAGACATCGCTGTAATTGATTGACCAGGTTTCATGCAGCTGTAGTGGATATAATGCCAGCGCTAGACTACCAAACAGACACCATTAGCTTTTTTTGATGAATATTCAGTTTTAAACTATGTTTTGGCACTTCATCTTTATCCAACTATTGTGCTGAATGCTTGCAATTGTCAAAAAGAATCCATTTTTCATCACACCTAACAATACGGTATAGAAATGGTTCTCTTTTTTGTTGTAACAGCAAAGAAAGGCAAGCTTCGAGACAATTTTTCTTCTGACACTCATTTAATTCATGCGGAACCCACCTATCCAGCTGGTTTACCCTGCCAGGTTGTTTCAAATGGTCCAATATTGTTGGAATAGTAACATCAACCTTGCTACTAATTTACTTGTAGGTTGAGATGGATTTGCTTCCACTACAGCTTTCAGCTCATCATTATCCACCTTGGTCTCAGGTCACACCTGTGGCTTATTTTCAGGATTAAAATCACCAGAATGGAACTTCTCAAACCATCGACGTACTGTGCATGCATTAGCCACATCCTTCTCAAACACTTCGTTGATATTCCATGATGGGACTCATATTCAAAAATGACACGAATTTTTGACTTATCCGTGATTTTACAAAAATGGCTCTAAAAAAATTTGAAAGATAATCACAAGGCAAACCAAGCGTTTGCAAGACTGAGGATGTGCCTTCACAATAAAAATAAAACAAAAATTGTCAAAGTGAAATGTCAGAGATATCAACTGTCAAACTTAGTACTTAAGGAAATCAAACATTTCATACTTAATAACCTAATATTTCCATAATCTGTATTTCACAAGGGGTAGGTCTAGTGAAATCAATGAAAGACAAGACTAAAAATAACATGTAATTAAGTAATATCTAGTTTTGTGGTTACCTTTAAATGTATTTTAAAAATTCTTCATATGTAACATACTTGCATTGTTTTCTCAGATACTGGTTTTTAAATTTTTTTGTTTGTTTTTGGTCTTATGTTTTGCTGTATTTCAGTAGATCTCTTAATTAGAGACCTGTGGTCATAAACCTTACTTTGTCCTAAGCTTACTTTCTTAGCCATTCATGTTAAATCAAGAAAAAACTTAGTGGGTAAATTATTCACCTGGTTTTACTATTAAACTGATTTTGACTTTAAGAGAAGCCAAGGTTACGGTTGTAGTTAGTTTGCTAATAAACATGAGGTAGAAGATAAAGATATTTTATCTTTAATAAATAATTTATTTCCTCAGAATGTGCCAAGTTTTCAGTTTTCAAAAATAATTGTATTTTTAGAAGTCAAAACTTGGCACATTCTGGGGAAGTAACATATTTCCTTAGTACATATTTATTTGTTCTATTCAATCATTTTAATAGGAAAAGTAGGAGGAAAAGGGAACACATTCAAAGTTAGTTTTTTCCTTAAACCATAATGAGAAATATAAGGAATTTCTTCATTATTTCAGATATATTATTAGATTACTGTGAAGCTTAAGGTCCTACTCAATAGATAGTATCAAAGCCTTATTATAGTACAAGAAGAATTGGAAGTCTAGGAAGAATGTCTTCTCAATTTTTAGCCATTTCCTTAGAACAGGGATTGGCATACTACAAACTGCAGCAAATTTTGCCCATCACCTGTTTTTATAAATAAAGTTTTATTGGAACACATCCACATACATTTTTTACTTATTGCCTATAGCCGTTTTCATGCTGCAACAGCATAGTTGAATAATTGGGACCTAAACCATATAGTCTGCGAAGTCTAGCATGTTTACTTTCTGGCCCTTTATAGAAAAAGTTTGCCAATCCCTGCTTTAGAACAATAAAGAATATTGCATCATTGTGCATTTTTGAGGATATTTTAATTGAACTTCTTTAGTATGTTTCATAGATTCACAGAAATGAGAGGGACCTTCGAAATCAACTAATCACTGCCCCCCACCCCGCCCTTCCTTTTTAATAGGTGAGAAAACAAAATCTAGAAAGCTGAAGCCACCAGCTCAGGATCATACTGCTACTTAAAGGCAGAGGTGGAATTAGGATCAAGGGATGTTAGTGCTAAAATCTCTATTAGCAGCATTAGCTGACAATGTAAACAAAAATACAAATAAAAGATGCTTAGCAGAACTATTTCTTATCTATTTTCTGTGCCTCAGAAATTTCAGAAAATGCTAAGCTCATAAAAAAATACCCCTGAATTCACAAATTAAGATAAGCACTAGACACAAATTATTTATACCTTGCTAGAGAGCTCTTAGAATGAACAAAGTTTAGTTTAGAGTAGTTTAAAAAAATTAAACACACTCACACTAAATCATATGAGAGGAATATATGAGGTATGTTTCTGGGTGTGTGTATATATATATTTTTAAGTGCCCTCAAACTAAACTATGTTCATATTAGGATTCCTCTAGTAAGCTCTGAATTAGCACTGCATAGTTGAGCAGAAACTGGAAATGGGAGCAAAGGAAATTAAAAACAGTTGTGCTTCCCAGAGGACGTTAATAAAAGGACATTAAGCCTTTAGATATACATGTGTTTATCTCTTTTCTCCATAATACACAATGTCAGAGGCATCAAAAATACTTAGAAGGTTAGGTTTTTAATTCCTTTTCTTTGGTTTCAGGAATGTGGGAAGCAGGTGGGCTATGGATCAAGCCAAGTATAACCTAATTAATGAATATTTTCTGGTGGGAGTTACTGAAGAGCTTGAAGATTTTATCATGTTGTTGGAGGCAGCTTTGCCCCGGTTTTTCAGGGGTGCTACAGAACTCTATCGTACAGGTATATAAATGAAAGGTTTCTTTTTAAAGCTGTCTGTAACTCTTTTGGTTTGTTTGCAACTTCTAAAATATACGTGATTTGAAGTTCTTCAGTAAAACACAACAAATAGCTCCAGAAAGGCAGGTATATTGTCTGTTTCTGCTCATCATTTTCAATACAAAACAGTGCCTGGCACAGAGATAGTGTTCATTAAATATTTTTCGAATGAATATATGTGCATTAGGTGAAAATTCGAAGGCATTATAGGAATAGTGGAGTCATAAAAACTGCAGAACCAGCTTTAGAAATATGTAACATTCAGTAGTGACAGATATCAAATATTAGGCCTAAGTAATACTCTTACCTACTGCCATTTTAAAGAAGAGGTGAATCACACTAACACAATTGTCATGTGTCATGTCTGTTATATAGTATGCCTAAAAGGGTGCTTTAGCAGCCTTAGCAGTATTACATTTCTGAAAGTGACCATGCTAGTAAAATCTAATTATGATTTTTTCCTGTTTGATAAGATGCAATCATAGGAACTCTTTCTAGAGTATGTACGCATATGCCCTAGCTTCTAACACATAATTTTAGAGAATATAGGTTATGAGAAAGTAGAATTGTTTGACAATAGTTATCTTATCAATTTTTAAAAAATAAACTAATCTTAGAGCACCAAGGACTTGAGAATATAGTATATGAGGTGACAGCCTACATTGTACTGAGTGGTAATCCTTACATTTACTATTTAATATTTGACATTTCATTAAGTTTTTAACAAGTTAAGGACTTAAATTTTAAAGGAATAAATCACAGTTCAAGTATGATTAGGGCTCCATTTTTGCCTGAATTATATTAATACAAGACAGTTATGTTACTTGCTCTTCAATGTGTTTGAAGCCATCTCTTCAAATAAAGAGGAATTGATCTTTTGTGTGTTCTCCAAGAATTATTTACCTTTCCTTTTTTCCTTTGTAAGTAGGAAAGAAATCTCATCTAAGGAAAACCACAGAGAAGAAACTCCCCACTAAACAAACCATTGCAAAACTACAGCAGTCTGACATTTGGAAAATGGAGAATGAGTTCTATGAATTTGCACTAGAGCAGTTCCAATTCATCAGAGCCCATGCTGTTCGAGAAAAAGATGGAGACCTCTACATCCTTTCACAAAACTTTTTCTATGAAAAGATTTACCCTAAATCAAACTGAGTATAAGATGTGATTATTAGATTCTTGTACTAAAACTTTGACCCTATCTTCACACTTGTTCTCAGCTCCACAACCCGGATTGCTGATAGGTATATATGACAGTTTGTATTGGGTTGAATTAGGAAACAGTAATGTCGAGGAAGTAGATACTGACTGATATGTCAGTGTTCTAAGAAGTTTAAATTTCAGGCATTTTTCTTTTTTCTGGTTAAATTTTGGTGAGAGTTATAAACTCCTGCCTGGAAAAAAACCTATACATCACCTAAGATAAACACATGGCAGGTCTAATCAAAAGGCTAAATACAGTTTCAGAGAAGTTTCTGATACTCTTGTTTTTGATAAAGCATTTTTTTCAACTAACCATGAATGAAGAATCCACTTGCCACCGCCGTTACCGAAGGTTTGGATTATACACCTCTACTCAATAGTGTTGATAACTGTTTGGCAGTGTGTGCTTTGTTTTGTGAATCATGTTTCATGAAATTTATTGAAATGTTTGATCATGTTTGCTAAGAAATGTTTCTGCTGTAGTTGGATTTGCCCATATTTATGTAGGTGATTTTGATTTTTTAAAATAATCATTAGTGGTAAAAACAAGTTTAAACCATGACTAATACTAAAGAGATAAAGAGTCAAAGCAGTATTTCTCATTCCTTTCCTCCCAATATCTAATATTGGGAAAAATACTTCAAAGAATGTTGAGATTGTCTGAAGTTTTAGTTAGGACTTCCACACATTAATATCAAAAAAGTAAGTTTACTATTTGTTTTTCCATGTGTTATTTGTAAAGCTGTAAACTGAGATATTGGTGACTCCATATTATGCCTCCATTAGTGAGCTGTGGTATGGGTAGGATTTTCCTACTTCTGTACTTTTACCTGTAGACTATTTTTACTAAGGTGCTTTATAATGTGTTTTAAAGCATTGCATTTACAAAAAAAGGAAAATGCTGTAAATATTGCATATTTTATGTATTTGGACCAAAAGGTTACAAGTAATTAGACAAAAGTGGTTTTGCACCAATTTTATTATGTCAAGTAAAACCATCAGACCTACTGTTCTTGTTTTTCTCATTTAACTTTACTGTTAAGACATCACTGAAATGAACTTCAATAAGCTTTCAATTTTGATACACAGTTCATTGTTTGTAACTGGAGGCAGTAGTCGTAGTGGAAAGAGTACTGGGAAAGGAGTCAAAAAATTTGATTTTAGGTCCTACCTAGCTCTGCCACTTACCAGCTGTGTGATCTTGGGCAAGTCACTTAACCTCTCTCTGCCTCAATTTCCTCATCTTGAAGTGAGGATAATAATACCTGCTGTACCTACCTCACAGGGCTGTTGTGAGGATTAAATGAGATGGTATGTGAAAGCACTTTGGAAACTGTAAAGCGCTATATAAATGTAAGGTATTATTATAGAAACATCTTTAACATATAGTTTCATATCATTCATTTTTTAAACAAAGGGAAAAGTCCGCTTGTAAGCTGGTTGAAAAAGTTAATCTTGATATAAATTCATGTTTGATAAATATCTTCTCAGTGTTTTATCTTCCATGTTTCAACAACTATTGAATTATGAAACACCTGTGAACTCTTAAAGATTCACGAGCAACTGCTTCAGTTATGGAGGTTCCCTTTTGGAAATAGACTTTGTTAGCTGACTGGAGTCAGGAAAACTTTACCCTTAAAATTTGAAAGATTTTTCTGTTTTTATTTTACATTGCTTTTCAGAAATGGTCGCTATTTTATACCTATCATTTTAGGGTATGTTTTGCAGAGTTTAATTGCCCTGTGCATTCTTTACCTTCTTCCCCTTCTTAGAGTAACAGATATAAAGAATTTTAGAAATATTTTCTAAAAGGATAATCTTTAATATTTTTAGTGTAAGTAAACATTTCTGAACAAGGCTTTTTCAAACTGTAAGCATTTTAGGCAGATTACCTTAAAGGTTATTAATTGTGTGGGAGGAGAGGAGGGAACACTACTTACCAGAAAACATTTATAAATGAACTAAAGAAAAACTGAAAGAGTGAGAATATCATCTGGCACCCTTTCCCCTCAATAATAAAAAAGTATTAAGAGAACATAGCCAGACATAATTTTCTTAATTGGATTTTTCCTTTCCTTTTTTTAAATTAACTTTTATAGGTCTTTCCTGAAAATATATACAAATTATTTTCTTGCCCAAAAGTAAAGCACCACTTTAAAATGGGATTTGACATTTACTTACTAATGAACAAACCCCAGGATGCAGGTTATTTTTGGAGTGCATGCTAAAATCTTCTTGAGGTACATTAACACTTTTAGGTAACTAGAACATCACTTAGTGCACTAGATCAGGGGGTCAGTAAACTTTCCGTAAAGGGCCAGAGAGTAAATATTTTAGGCTTTGCAGGCCATAAGGTCTCTGTCACAACTACTCAACTCTGCCATTGTAACAAAAGCAGCTATAGACGATATGTAAACAAATGAGCATAGTTATGTTCCAATAAAACTTTATTTACAAAAACAGATGGCATGTGGGATATGGACTATGGGCTACCAACCCTTGCACTAAATAGATCATTATTTGTGGAGAAATCATTTTTGTATCTGTACTCTAGTATCCTAAAAGAGTTTATAAACTTCTAAAATCTCCTAACTTATATCCAAAGAATTGTTTTCTGATTCATGCAGGCTCTCCCATAGATTCATAAACTTTTATCATTTATATTGCTTCCAGGTGGGCATGTTTTCTTTCCCCGTATAACAGTTCAGAATAGGGACATTTATTTTATCATCTTTTAGGGTGGGTTAGGAGTATCTTTTCTGGAGACTGAGAAAGGGGCATATTTAATTCCATCTGATCCAGTACAATCCTAGGAGTCTGAGTCCTAATAATACCTAACTTTATAATCAATTAAATAGATAGAACCACTGAGACAATAATGTATTTTTTTAAAGTGGCAAATGTGGTTTTCTTTTTTCAGCCTGTGTGCTTTTTCAGTATTTTGACCATAGGGAGATAATTTTTTTATAATGCAAAAGTAAATTAACCACTTTGAATTTTGAAGAATAATGTTATGTGTGTATGTGAGTACACACACACACACACACACACACACACACACACACACACACACGTATATACCTATGTTTATTTCCTGAAAGAGGAAAGTTCTTTTTTGTTCAACTTGTATTAACTCCTGTTTTCTAATTGCTGTGAAATGGCAACTGTTGGTAAATTATTGTGATTGTTTTAAAATGTAATGGGAGGATATATTTTGATTTTACCCAGCTTTAATCTGTAAAATATCACTTAAATATATCTGATAGCAACACTTAAAATATTGCATGGGGGTTATTACTTTTCTATCATCCATATACATTTGCGCAACTTTGAACTACTGAAAATCAGAGAACTTACGCTTACTGAGTTTTAAATTTTAATTTTATTTTCTACTCTTAAAATTCAGTTAATGCCTATAATTTGAAATCTACTGTTTCTTTTTCTAAATATATGTTCTATTGGAAATTCCTAAAATTATTGGTGCCATCAGTGATTTACGAACAGTATTTTCATATTGCAGATGATTTGCTCATTGTATTTGCACAATTAGAAAATAGTTTGTAGACAATGATTCTCTTTTTCAATAAAATGAAATAAAAATTCTAAAAAACACTAGAGAATTTAGCTAAAGGCTGGTTCCCAAATGCATAGCTGGCATTTTAATTTATATTCAAATTCTCTGTAGAGAACATTTGTGTAAGTCCTCTAGCTGGATTTTCCATTGGTCATTCTCAAACACACCTATGGTCCTAGAATCCTTTATTATGAGAAGCGCGCAGTACTGTAACGTTTTATGAAGTTTGCCTTTCAGAGGCCCAGGTGCTTCTGCTTTGTGATTTGAAAGTTTACCTCTTCATAAATTAGTGCTATTTTCTTTGAGAGGAAGTGGGCCGGTTGCTGTTGGGTTTTTGCATCCATTGACCCTATGCCAAGTTGCTGTATGTTGCCAACTAAACTGCTCTTCAGGCAGTCTTCGGAAGGAAAAAGCAACCCTGTTTCAAATCTGCTGCCAATTCAGCTCCTCTGGAGTGGAGTTTACTTTCCGATTTCATGGAGCAGGAATTGTAGAGATTGAAATGAATGATCATTTAGTCAGATTTATCCTAGAATTTAATTTCATGCAGCTCTGTGGCCTTCGCAGTACTGTTTATAAAGTGGACCCTGATGGTGATGATCTCTTTAAAACACATTACTGGTAAGCTGATGCCGAGACACACTGATGCTGTCTGTCTTGATTTTTTTAGACAGCTTTTGTAGCTTTCTGCGGAGAATCAGGTATGTGAGCATCTGTGGAACAGTGTTGAATGTAATTTTGAGAAACATGGATTGTGTATTTTGACTTTTATTTTATAAATACACAGCTCAACAGTGCCTTTTTTTCTCCTCACAATCCTGTTGGAAGATGCTCACTACTTTCTCTGTGTCTCTCTTCTCTTTCCCAGCCCCTCCTCTGCCCCATTCAGTTGATTCATTTATGCAATACTGTTTCCAACTTGAAACCATTTTGTCACATCTGTTGGGGAGATAATTGCTCCTTTTCCTTAACATTCTGCCAGCTTTCTGTTGTTGAAGTGTTTCAGTTGACTACCTGATGCAAAAGCTATACAATAAACACTCAGTGGGAAGGGGAAAAATGGTTTGGTGTCCTGTTTTAATATTTTCTTCTGTAGCCTTGATGCTGATGGACATTTCCCAAGCCGATTCAGTGTTCAGCATCAATTTAACTCTCAGATATTGTTGCCATCCGAAAGGCATGCATCATCATTGGTTAGTAATGATTTTATGACTTACTTGTGACAGTATTTTACCCAGAATGACATGCTTCTCTGCTGCTTTTGCTTTGTACTTCATTGTTGGTATTGAAATTTCAGATAGAAAATTTCCAAGGTATATTTAAGATACATACCCAAAAGAAAAATAGAGAAAGGGCTATTAGAATAAAAAGGAAATTCAAAAGAAAAAAATTAATCTGATTAACATTTATTGCACAGTTTGGACATATCCATAATGTTTCGTTGAGAAAACACATTTCTAATGATTGTTTTTCACTCTTAAAGGTGAAAAATCTCAATTATACAGATTTCCAATTCCCAGCCACTGGCTCACTGTTTTGAGCAATGCTTGATTAATTCTATTTATGTTATATGATATTGGGTTGAATAAAATACCAATTGAACGATGATTTTCTTAACAGAATTTGGTTTATACCCACAGGTGCAGAGCAGAGGGCATGGATTTGAGAGTCAAATGGTCCTGCATTTAACAGTATGACTTTAGTAAATGGAGATAACAGGATTATTGTAAAAGTTGGACATGATAGATGCAAAGTGCTAGCCCAGGGTACACTAATAAATGATAGCTTTTATTTGCTATGTTGGAATATTGTTAGGAAGCTGACCTGCCCTTCTCATCCTGCAGAATACTAGTCACTTAATAAAAGATATTTTTATAAATGTTTTTGAATGCCACTGAATACTTTTTATTGATAAGAACCCATTGTCTTGATGCCTCCTCACTATGTACCTGTAGCATAGATATTCCTGGTCCTGATTCCTGCTATTATTTTCATGTACAAATCATCCATGAGAAAATAGGGAACATG